TTATCCGAATTTCGGGACTTTGGCATTATCCGGGGGAGATGGAAATTTAGGACAAAAACCACATTTTTTTGGTTAAATTGTCCCTATTCTTTTCACAAGAAATTAGATCTTCAGCAAAACGTTGGTCGACTCTCCAGAAGTCAAACTTAATTTTCCCTTCTTCACATCAACTTTTAAAATATCGTCCAAAGGCATCCCGCTTACCGTGTCCATCCGGGAAGTCATGTGGCTATATCGAGAGCAGCGATTAAAATGGAAATGTGTTTTTGTGCGAGTGAGGGGGCTAGGAGAGGCTACGTGCGTTCGTCTAAAAACCAACATGCGGCACGAGGAATTTGAATAATCAGCTTGTATGTTGCCGTCCCCAGTCGTGAACGCGAAGTCGCGTGAACGGGCCCCTAGTTCGAGCTAGACGATAACAAAAACAGATTCGAGAACTCGTCAAATAGCCGGCGGTGATGTGTTTTTTTTATGGAAAGTACGAGTCTTTGCAATTTGAATATTTTCAGGCTTTGTATCTGCAGCTTCTCGCTCGATTTTTTGAAAATTTATGTTTTCTGGGCAAGGTAGAGCGTATTGGGGAACTTCGAAAAGTCCATTTTTACGTGGAAAGAGATTACAGGCTTCAAGTTGACTACAGACTAAAACTTCCGACGTAACTAACGTAACCCTGCCTGTAGGAAGTGCTCGAATTTGGACGGATCATTCAATGCTGCAATGACCAGGGCACACCTGCCTCGGGTGCGCAAAAAAGCCGAAAGCTAACCACTATACCGTAGCCCAATTGATGGATACTAAAAAGATAACTAAACTTAAAACTAAAAGATGACCCGGCCCCAGCTCGGCCTAGGATGAAAATTAAGGCTAAACCCTACCGTGAACGCTTTGTGCCGGGCTCGGGGGGCAATAATCAAAAGCTACTAATGTAACATCCGGCGAGACAAAAAGATCAACGATGATTTACCGTAATCACCGATATGCAGGATGGAAAAAAACAGTAAAATAAAATTAGAACCACCATTGGCTGAGTCACCGAAAAACAAGGCTGAAAGCTGCGTCAGCTACCCCGCTTGGAAGACAGGATTTTGTCAAAAATTTTACAGCAAACTAGCGGCTAAATGGTCCTAAGTTCCTTAAAAGGCTTGGAACGTCCTGAAAGTTAAAATCTGCCCCGGCTACAGTACCTCTGAAATTGACAAAGCGAACGCAAATGTGGGCTCGAAACGACCGCAGCCAAACCACTGTAATTGCGCCAAAATCAAGCCATATTTGCCGCCAACGAGTGTCGTATTTTGCATTTTATCTAATTTGAGATTATATTTGTGAGCCATAAACAAGAAGCGCGTTAAAACCTTCCCCAACTACCGTAACCCCGCTCACTTACCATGGCGAATACGGTGGCTGAACGGTAGCTCGAATCAGATGTCCTCTCATCCTAACGACCGTATTTATACGCCCCCGTACTCGTACTCGTACTCCCATTCTCAACATAAAATCTGATCCCCTCCAGCGCTGACCTCCTCCAATTAGCCGGAAAATTTGGCATCAAAAGCAGCCGACCCCGGCTCGATTTTATGCTAATCCCGGTCAAAAAGTCAGGTTTTCGGGAGTTTTAGCTCCCTAAAAATTGCCCCAAATCGTAAACACGGGGCCGTTTGGGCCGTTTTTTCGTATTTTGCAAGCCTACGTGACCATCGCCATGTTCAGTCCAGCGTTTTTAGGCAGCGCGTGCTTATCGCGAAAAAGTACTAGAGGAGGGGTGAAGCCGATCAGAAAAGGCAACACTGAACATCGTAAAAATGTGCTTTGGCTATTTGATTTTGCTTGGGTGGGTCGAGGTAGGGCTTGTTTGGGTAGTTTATTTTGTCTGGAATTTCAAGATACGTTTCCGCCGCGACGCAATGCACTACGAAGCGCAATGTGCAACGCCTCGCGTCAGAAAACGCGATGCGCATTGCGGCACGCAACGCGACACAAACGGCACAAAACGGCGTTATATGTAAAATCCGCCTCATAACCCAACGCGCAAGGCTCCGCGAATCGCCATACGCCACTCAACGGAAACGCCACGTCGCTTAATCCATTAAGCCAAGGAAACAGGCGCGTGTATTCTGCATGTAATTACCATGCGGAAATTCAACATTGGCTGTCTTCTTAATCTCTAAACTAATTTTTGGAGCGAAACTCAAAAAATTGCCTGGAACTCGGTTTTCCGCCCCCGTGTGGCCATTTGGCTTTTCGACTCGCAACTACGTGACTTTTCGACAATATTGAGCTTTGGCCTCTTCTCGTGTTATCAGGCGGGTGGTGTACAAAACACAACAAAACACGAACACGCGGAAAGGTACGGTCGATGGCACGATGGCAGGTACGATCTGAGATACGATCTCTCTCTATCTGTCTCTCTCTCTCCTCCTCGCTCGCTCTCTCTCTATCACATTCTCTGTCACTCTTACTCACTCTCGCTCTCTCCTCTCGTTCTCTCTCCTTCTATCTCTTGCTCTTTCTCTCTCTCGCTCCCTCTCTCTCTCTGTATCTCTCGCGCTTTCTGTAAATCTCTCTCTTCCCGCTCTCTATCGCTCACACTCTCTCGCTCTGCTTGTTGTCCTGGACATTTACGAGTAATTTTTTATTATCTTAATGAATAGAATTTTACATATTACAGTAATCGAGACACGCTTTATAAGTTAGGTCTGATAGCACAGCCCAGTTCCGTTCTTGTAGCACTGCTTGCGGATGGCAGCGTTGTTGTTCGCGTTCGAGCAGCAGCGACTAAAAGGGGCATAGAACGTTGTGATCTATTCATTGCTCTTGACTTCCTAGCCGCTTCAAGGCTTCTAAAAACGTACCCCTTGTAGTCGGTGTTCAACGCCTGATTCCAGGCGCAGAGCCCGTTGGTGCTCAGGCATCGCTTGTGGCAATTTTTGTAGCACTTCGAGTTGAACCAGCTAAACAACCAGCTGTAAGAGATTGGGACGGATAAACGCTACGAAACTAGTTACGTAGTACGATACGCAACACGATGCGGAATAAGCTACGCATGATACTACGCAACGCGCGACGTAGTACGATAGAAACCCCTCCTGTACGCTAGGTAAAAGGCTACGAAACACACAACTGCGCGCTAGAATATGCTTCGCACGACGCCAAACTGTACGTTAGGATACGTGACGCGATACGCTACGCTACGATTGACCGTACGCTACGCGACAATACGTACCTTCCACTCTCCTGAGCAACCGGGCAAGCGCAAATTTCCCATCCGGCGTCCTGGAAGTGGAAGTCCGTCTGGTCGGAGATGAACTTCCCCATGCAGTAGTCCTACAAAAGTAGTTTTTGCGCTGTACACGCTCAGGTTTAAACGATTACGATATGAAAAAGCGTACCTTGCATGTGGTCTTCCTCTGCTTTAGCGAGTAGTTGCTTGGTAGCTGATCAAAGGCGAAAATCGCTGCCACCAGCGTCACGACGAGAATAGTGATGAAGTTGCGCTAAAAATAGACTTGGTTACAGTAGGCTGGTAGCTTCCTAATCCCTTTAAAACACAAAAAAATGCGATAATTTTGCCCACCGTAGCCATTGAGTTGCTGTTTTTAGTTAGCGAAAAATTTGGAAATGTGTTTTTGTTGAGAGCGCTCCAGCGTTCCGCTAAAAAACCCGCACACGCTGACCGAAATTTGCATAAGCGGTTTGCGAAAGTTGCCAGCGGCCCCTGGGTGGTGACCAACTAGCTAAGGTGACCTAGTTTTGGCTAGCGATAACAAAAATACGACGTTTTCGAATCCCAGACATAATGCCGACGACCAAGATCCACACAACCAAAATGCCGACAGCTTAAATGCTGACAGCGATAATCCCCACCGCGAAATCCCAAATTTTGTCGAAACTCGGTTAATGTTGTCTAAAAACGATTTTTTGCCATTTTTAATAAAATGTGTAAAATTTTTGCGGTGAGGAATACCAAAAACAGTTTACAATTAAAACATAAAAATAGCAAATAATAAAAAACCATTTAGCCCTCTACTTCGATCAGAAAAATCAATTCTAGGGAAAACTAGTCCCCCAATACTGAAAAGCGCTCCAAAAACCTACCATTCCTCCACTCGTCAAGAAGCTGCAAGCCCTGATTCTAATTCTTGACCCGTTCCCGCCACATATTTATAGCAAAGCACGCTGGCAAACTATCCACAAACCCATAAACGCAACGCGCTCGCCTCTTTTGCAAACCAATCCTTTGAACTTTTTCACACGTCGGCCATTCGCTTATCATTTTTTATGTTCGGCCATTTGGTACAAATCTCATTTTTTACGAGTTTGAACGGTTTGCATAGAGAGCTGTTCTTTGGAACTGTGTTGCGAGACAGATTCGGAGCAATCCAAAAAAATGTGCGCAAATGGCAAAGTGCAGGGAAACGGTTGGTGAAATGTTGAAGTTTGCACTTCCATGTTTTAGCGGATTTTTGCTGCATCAAAATAGTAATTTTGAGAAGGCCAATAAAACATTTCAGCTAGATCGTCGTGCTCGCGAACGACCGCGTCGCTGTTTCCTCAGCACGTTGATCATCTCCTCCCTCATTTGATCTCTGGTCAATTTTCTCTCGTTTTCGGCATCTCTCTCGCTCTCTCTCTCTCTCTCTCTCCCGACAACTTCTCTCTCTCTCCCTCTCGATAACGTCTCTCCCTCTCTCATTCTCTCTCACTCTCTCTTTCGCCGACTCTCTCAGCTTCTCAATGTCACTCCCTCTCGCTCACTCTCTCACTCTCACGCACTCGGCTGCCAGCTCTCCACTTCTCTTGCTCTGTTTTCTCTCACTCTCTCGCTCTCTCTCCATCTCTCTCCATCTGAGAGTTTTTCATAAGTCCCTAAACAGCTACACGCGACACAACGACAACGCTTTAAAGGAGCGTGGAAGGCGCAAATCTACCTCTCCTTCGGTTGGGTGGCGACACGAGGAACGCGACGTATCATTATTTATACATTATAACCTTCAAATTATTTAAGTCTGGTAGCAGAGGCCGGTCTGGTTGTTGAAGCAGTAGTTCTTGAGGGTAGCGTTGTTCTTCGTGTTGATGCAGCATCTCCTGAAATTGTGAGTTATTGAGTCATATTATTACGAACATGCGCTGTACATTATTAGCCGCTTCGCGGGAAAGTAGCCCTCCGTTAAAGGAGAAGCACCAAACTTGGTACATCCTTACCCCTTGTAATTGAGATTTAGAGCCTGATTCCAGGCGCACGCCCCCATCGTGTTCAGACAGCGGTCGAAACAATTATTGTAGCACTGCGACTGGAACCAACTGAAAATTGGTCATTTTTGGGTAAAGGATCTATAAGTCTACGTACCTTCCGCTCTGCTGTGCCACCGGGCAAACACAGATTTCCCAGTCGGCCGCTTGGAAGTCAAAGTTCGTCTGGTCGGAGATGAACTTGCCCATGCAGTAGTCCTAAAAAAAGCTTTTTCAAGGGACTGGTAAGTGCTTAAATCGACCATTGCAACGACTCGGTCTCGCCACATACGCAAAGCTCGAAAATACGTTGAACAAATACGAAAACCTCTCCTAATATATCTGTTTAGCCCTTTACCGCTCTCCTTCTCACTTTCTCGCTCTCTCGCTTTCTTTCTCTCTCTCTCTCTCTCTCTCTCTCTCTCTCTCTCTCTCTCTTTCTCTCTCTCGCTCTCTCTATCTCGCTCTCTCTCTCTCTCTTTCTATCTATCTTTTTCCCTAACTGACCTTGCAGGTGTCCTTTTTCTGTTTCTGCGACCAGAGAAGCGGCAACGGCATCCAGGGGACCACGGACACCGTTAGGAGAGCGAAGATGAGTAGAGAACGCTAAAAACGGACTTGGTTTCAGCTCGTAATTTCCACAAGAATTTCTGCCTAATTCCCCTTCTGCCCCCCAAAGAATTTATCTCTCTGATTCCCCAAAGTTGCGAAAGAATCCCTGCAATCATTTCTAAAAATTAGCCTCAAAATTCCCAAAGAATTTCTGCTAGCGAACGCTATTTTCGTACTGTATTCTGAAAAAACGTACCATTACTAGTGCAGAGGTGCCGAATCAGAAATCAGTCCGACTGAATTCTGATTCTCGACTCGCGAACTGTGCTATTTATACCAAGCATCGCTTCCAATCTACTCACAAAACCTATAAAACGCAACAATCCGCCCGTTTTTCGATCGGCTGACTCTGCGCTTATCGCGTTGTCTGTGTCGTGAGGTCATTTTACCCGTTTTCTCAAACCCATTAATGGCTTAGGCGTTCAAAGGATTGTTGTGTTCTTTGAAATACCTGACAATTTAGGAAAAATTAGGAAAAACGAATTATTAAAGCACCAGGGTTGAAAAGCCGCTTCGCGACTTTTCGACCCTGGCCCCGTTTGGACAAATGAAACTGTAAAATTTGCATAATCAAGCTGACAGAAATAAAAAGATTTCCTTCTATCCCTTTTTATAGGCTTCTTCTACTTCCGGTATATGCTAATTGTTTCCTACCAAAGAGGGTTCTCGAAAATTTTAGAAAAACTTATTTTTAATGTCGAAAATAGCTTATTTCGATAATTCTGTTATGCGTGCAGTCATCGCAGAGCCATTACGCACCTAATGATGTATCATACGTTCCCTAATATTGATCCCCTATTGAGTTATCCTCTGGACATACAGACGGAAGTTGCATGCAAATCGACACACACACACAGACACTACTTTTTTATATATAGTAGGATGAGGGATTTCGGGACTGCGCCTCAAAAAAATGAATTTTTGTAGTTTTACGAGCTCTATTACTGTAATAGCTATCGAAATATTATCATTTTATTCCCATTATTAATTGCAAACAAGTAAAAAGATTTAGGTCTGATAGCAGAGGCCGGTCATGTTGTTGAAGCAGTAGTTGCGGAGCATCGCGTTGCCCTGCGAGTTGATGCAGCATCTCCTGAAATTGCCGTCATAACGATACCCAGCAGGAAAAAATGGTCGGATTTCCACTATTCAACCCCCATTAAAGTACCAAAACCATACCCCCTGTAGTCCGTGTTCAACGCCTGGTTATAGGCGCACAGTCCGTTGGTGTTCAAGCAGCGGTTGTAGCAGTTGTTGTAGCAGCTCGACAGATACCAGCTGAAAAATACCATGAAGGGTGGGTCACGGAATCACAACCGAGAACCTACGAAACCAGGCTACGAACCTTCCGCCCTGCTGGGCCACCGGACAAACACAGATCTCCCAGCCGCTCTCGAGGAAGTGGAAGGCCGTCTGGTCGGCGATGAACTTCCCCATGCAGTAGTCCTGGAATAAAATAGGTTTTTCTAGCTCGTCCCTCTCTCTCTCCCTCTCCCTCTCTGTCTCTCTCCCTCTCACTCTCACTCTCTCACTCCCAAACTAACCTTGCAAGTATCCCTGCGTTGTCCAACCGACCATGTAGGAACAGTTGGTAGTTGATCGAAGGTGATCACCGCCGCCAACAGGGTCACGAACACAACGACGTTACGCTAAAAAATGGATGGAAGCTAGCTAGCGCCTCCAGTTTCTCAAGGGATTTCTGCTAGCCTGCCAATGACTGGAGGATTCCGTTAGAATCCCCGCGACCCTTCCCTCCGATTCTCCAGAATCCCTGATAGCCTGCCTATCATTTAATGCGCTCGTGATAATCTCTTCTAGCTTGCCTCGCCAACTTCTTAAAGAGTTTCTGCTAGCTTGCTCCTCTATTCCCCAACCTGTAATCTCTGCGAGCCTGTCTTTCCTGTAAAGGCTTCTGAAAGAGTTCCTTTCTGCCCGGTTCCCCAAGAAACTCTGCTAGCTTGCTCTTTCCAGCACCCATGCAACTTCCGAATGACCCTGCTAGTTAGGCTATCGTACCCGGAAAAAACGTAAAAAGCCAAAAATTGCGCTCACCATGGCAGATAGCAGTCCGAGGATCAGAATTCTGACTTTTTGATCCCCTGACCGGCCTATTTATAGCCAGACGCTACTCCTATGTACTCGCGACCGCCGTAAACGCAACAATCGCCCGTTTTTTCCGGCCGAACGACGTGGCTTATCGCTTTTTGCCCTGATCTGTGGGACCATTTTTTGTTCAAAAGTCCAGATATTTTTGTCTGGGACGGTCAGCGTACTTTGGAAAGGATAAAAAAAAGATTATTGGTATGTACACACTAAGAATTTACACACTACAGCATGCATTAATTTATACAATGTGACGAAAAAGCCATTTAAAAAAATTAGGTCTGCCAGCAGAGGCCGGTCATGTTGTTGAAGCAGTAGTTGCGCAGCATCGCGTTGCCCTGCGAGTTGATGCAGCATCTTCTGGAATTGCCGTCATAACGATATCCGATGTCATTGCCGGCCCCCTTAAAGTATCAAAACCGTACCCCTTGTAGTCGGTGTTCAACGCTTGGTTCCAGGAGCACAACCCGTTGGTGCTCAGACAGCGGTTGAAGCAGTTATTATAGCAGCTCGACATATACCAACTAGAAACTGCTGTGGATTACGGTAGTCTGAAGCCATCCCTTTATGGCAGGCCGAATGCGTGAGGGGGAACTCCGTAACGATACGCACCTGCCACTCTCTTGCGCGACCGGGCAAACACAGATTTCCCATCCGGAGCCCAGGAAGTCGAAGTTCGTCTGATCGGCGATGAACTTTCCCATGCAGTAGTCCTGAAAACCGCTCCGTATCTCTCCCTCTCTCTCTCTCTCTCTCTCTCTCTCTCTCTCTCTCTCTTTCTATCCCGCTCTCTCTCTACCGACCTTGCAGGTGTCCTTCTTCTGCTTCGTTGAGTAGGTGGAAGGAAGTTGGGTGAAGGCGACCACTGACGCCACCAGGGCCACGAGAACGATCAGCGAGCGCTGAAAAACAGTTATTCCTTCCGAAAGGAACAAAACGAACAAGAAACCCTATTACCCTGCTCGATTCTCAAATGACCTCTGCATCCTTCTCACCTAATTCCCCCAAGAATCACCGCTAGCCTGTCAATCCCGCTGAATTTCTCAAAAACTCGTTTCTAGCCTAATGCTGAAAATCCTCAAAGGATCTCCGCCAGCATGCTCTTCAATTCCCAAAAAATCTCTGCTAGTTGCCTCTAGAGAGAGGGAGAGAGCGAGAGATAATAAGAGAGAGCGAGAATGAGAGAGAGAGAGAGAGAGAGAGAGAGAGATATGAATCAGAGTGAGATATACCATGTGTGCGTGAGTATGAGAGCAAGCTAGATAAAGAGAGAGAGAGAGAGAGAGAGAGAGAGAATAAGTGTATTATATACCAAACTTTCTACCGTATCCAGAAGCGTTAAACAGTTCTACGGTATCCCCAAAAAAAGGTAAAAAGCTCACCATAGTTACAGCGATTCTTCGGGGATCAAAAAGGTGCCTTCAGAATTCTGCCATTTCAGCCACGCTATCCCTATTTATACCGCGAAACCGGGACAATCTACCCAAAAAATCCATAAAACGCAACAATCTGCAGACTTTTTTCTAGGCTTATCGCTTTTTCCGTTGACCTCTGCGATCAGTTTTTGGGCACACATTGAAATCTGTGGTACGCTTCGGCACGTACATTGGATCGTCACGTTCCTTGGTCTGAGGGGGGGGGGCGGAGTTTGGCATGGTATGGACAGCAAAACACATTCCAGTTTATTTTATCATGCGATCGGCATTAAAAAAGCCAAAACTAAAGTAAAACTAGTGATTGATTGAATAAAACTAATTTTGTTAAGAAATTAAAACGTAGAAAGGAAAAATCATTTTAGGAAATCGATTGATTGTCATTTTAATTGTTAGTATTCCTACTTTTTGAAAGATTTTAAGTTTTGTACTTATTTAAATATAAACAGGCAAAGAGGGATTATAAAAATCAAAGTAGATATTTTTATAAAAAAGTTTTTTAGACATGTTGGCAAAATTTTGACAGGATTCAGCTACTGTATTACGCCAATTCGGTTAAAAATGCATATATAGAGAGCAAAATTAATTAATTTGCTTTTTCTGGTTTTGAAGAACATCTTAGACCTTTTAATTTATAGCAGTTCTACCTTCTTGTTCTTCGTATTGTTTCGTGCTTCCGGTGTTTTTGCGCAATTTCAACGAAATAATTTAGCGCTTTTATTAATATTTGTACAGCACATCAGCAAGGGAGATATTAAGAGCACACGAAATTTAAATTCAATCAAATTAAACTAATTATGTCTGGTAGCAGAGGCCGGTCTTGAGGTTGTAGCACTGCTTCCTGATGTTTGCGTTGTTGTTGGCGTTCGAGCAGCACCTCCTGGAATCGGGGATGTGAAATATACAAATTCCGCCTGATTTTGGCGATTTTTAAGTCGAAGCCCTTTCCGTAACAAAGACGTACCCCTTGTAGTCGGTGTTCAACGCCTGGTTCCAGGAGCACAACCCGTTGGTGCTCAGGCAGCGGTTGTAGCAGTTCGTGTAGCAGTTCGACATATACCAGCTGAAAAAGACGGTCGAATACGGTAGCCGTAAAAATTCGTACCTTCCGCTCTGTTGTGCGACGGGGCAAACGCAGATTTCCCAGCCGCTTAGCAGAAAGTTGAAGTTCGTCTGGTCGGCGATGAACTTTCCCATGCAGTAGTCCTGAAAAAGAGTGATGTCACTCTCATTCTCTCTTTCTCTCTCTCTCTCTCTCTCTCTCTCTCTCTCTCTCTCTACTGACCTTGCAGGTGTCCTTTCTCTGCTTCGTCGAGTAGGTAGAAGGCAGTTGCGTGAAGGCGACCACCGACGCCACCAGGGCTAGAAGAACGATGAGAGAACGCTGAAAATCAACTATTGTTTCCAGAAGCACTCCACTTCCTCAAAACCTCCGCTAGCTTCACCCTGCTATTTCTGCTCAAATAATCTCGACTAACTAGGGGCAGAAATTCCTCAAGGTTCTCGGTTCGGTGTTGCCGCCGAAAATTCCTTCTAGGGCGCCCGGAGCATAAAATCTCCGCAAAGGAGCTTTGCTAGCTTGCGCAGATGACTCGAAAATTTCCTAAAAGATCTTTGCTAGTCGCCCTCGACCTAGAGTTCTCGAAGCATGTCTACTACCCTCGTGAGGCGTAGATATGGGCTTTCGAATAGCTGGGACTTAGGCTAGGTTTGGTTAGGCTTAGGCTTAGGTTTGGCGTAGGCTTAGGGCTAGGCTTCGGCTTATGCTTATGCTTAGGTTTATGCTTAGGCTTAAGTTGGTGGAGGCTTAGGCCTAGGCTTGGTATAGGTTTAGGCTTAGGCATGTACTTAAGCTTAGCCTAATCCACAATTAGGGACTACTTTTGGCTTCGGCTTAAGGTCGAACCTCGGCTTGGGCTTAGGTTTAAGCTTTGGTTCAGCTTAAGTTTAAGCTTAGGCTTGAAAAAGGATTACAGTAACCCAGCCCGCCCCGACGCACCATGTCGCTGCTTGAGAAGATTAGAGCAGAAAATAGGAGGTCAAGCTTCAGCCCCGAGCTCAGCCAGCCCCCCAATTTGTACCTCCCAAAAATGGCGCCAAACTACCAACGACCCCCATAAAGCGCTTGCCCTCCATTCCGTTTTTGCACAAAATCACCTTGGCCCTCTTTCGAAAAACGCCGCTTTTCGCTTATCACTTTTTGCCTCGCGAGTTTTATGGCCCGTCCCTAGCTTGGCATCTTTTTGCGTTTTTTTTTCTGGGTACCGTATCTGTTCTGGCGCCGAACTTCTTTGGTCTCCGTGATTTTTTGAAAAATTTTAGGGCTGTCGTGGTCAGAAAATCGCAAAACACTGATAAACAAGTACGTGTGTTTTGTACAGGGGTTTACGTGAGAATTAGGAGGGTCTTAGACTTCGATTTTTCAGGGTGCAGTACGATGCACAACTCCTTACATATTTACGTTAACTTTTACACTTAAAAGCTAGTACGTTTTCTGAGGTTCCAAAGGGTCTCTGCTAGCTCGCCATGACATACGCGGTTTTGAAAGGACTTTTGCTAGTGTACTACTTAAGTATTTTTCTAACGGAATTGATGCGTATGTGCGGTATGTTTGGTACGTTTCTGTACGATCCGGACGTCGCTTAGATTTGTTGTGTACTCGTAGTTCAACTGGATTTTGGGCTGTATTGTACATTATTTTCCTTTTTACCTGTTCGATGGGCGAGCAGTGACCATTGAGGAATTAGGCGCTTACTGACATGTAGAGGTTGTGAGGTCACAGACTCCAAATCGGCTCAAAATTTGTGGAAAAATCAAATAAAATACGGGGAACACGATGCAATAAAAATTATCTGCCAATGGGCGCTTTTGTTTAATAAACTTTTAATTTTAATGGAAAAAAGTGCACCTGAAATGCACTTTTAGCTGCTTTATCGGGCCTTACGGCTTGGAAAAAATGTTTTGATGAAATTTTCATAGCAACCACGACACTAGACACCTTTCTACACCTGAATAAAAATTGTTCGGCAAAAATTTTTTTTCACGGAAAGTTAGACGACCTATCCTATAGCCCCGGGTCCTGGGAGGTTGGCAGCTGTTTACAATAGGTGTTTCTGGCTCCTAGGCGCTTTAAATCGGAGCACCGAGATATTTCAGATTGCCGGAATAATTTTATTTACGAGGTTGGTTCAAATAATATTTATTAACTATTGGGTTGGTGTTCATCGAGCCGGAATAGGTAGGTCGACCTTTTTAAAAAACTTCCAAAATTTTTGAAATTTTATTTTTCTGTCCAGGCGACTCCTAGGGATTAATAGGACCGAAAAACTTTCAGAAAAACTTTCGAGACCCTCTCCGTGCAAAATAGAAGCGAAAACAGCAAAAAGCAAAAATTGAAAATAACGACGGGATCCGAACCTTCGACCCATAGCCTGCCACCCGTGCACCCTACCCCTACACTACCGATCCGACGGGTTGGGGGAGCTTAGGAACGCTTCAAGAGTTCTCCCTTGCGCGAAACGGTTTTGGCGACCCAGGCGCGTTTTTAGGTAGTTTTCCATACAAAATCTTAAAATCAAAGTTTATTAAACAAAAGTGCCCATTGGCAGATAATTTTTATCGCATCGTGTTCCCCGTATTTTATTTGGTTTTTCCACCAATTTTGAGCCGATTTGGAGTCTGTGACCTGACAACCTCTACATGTGAGCAAACCGAATAAAAAGCCAAAATAACAAAATAAAAATAAAAAGCCAGGGGTCAGGGTGAGCTAGCAGAAACCATTGCATCCCAAGTGGACTACCAGAAATCATTGAAGATCCCGAAGTCAAAAGTTCACACCTTTCTAACAAGGGAACCACAAGTTGGCACGGTGGAATTTCGAAAAACGCTCGCGGCTACCCCTAGGTTTTCGACGACGGCGATTCCAACGCGCTAGTCAGAATTAGCTAAATCGACCTGTGGACAGAGATACAGCACTTCCGGAAAATGGTCAATTTACATTCGGGGCATTTAGCATTCACCTCAGGGTTTATGAGGGCTTCCCATCTCAGAAGAATCACCAGTTGAATGGCCGGGTGGTAAGCGGCTAGCTTATTCGAATTAGGATTCGAACCCTGGTCAGTATCCTAATAAGCTAGCCGCTTACCACCCGGCCATTCAACTGGTGATTCTTCTGAGATGGGAAGCCCTCATAAACCCTGGGGTGATGCTAAATGCCCGATGTAAATTGACCATTTTCCGAAGTGCTGTATCTCAGTCCACAGGTCGATTGCTCATTCTGACTTGCGCGTTGGATCGCGTCGTCGAAAGCATAGGGGTAACCGCAGCGTTTTCGAAATTCCACCGTGCCAACTTGTTTCCCTTATAAGTTCAACAACGGTTCCGGATTCTCGAAAACAACATAAACGCGCTCTCGAAATGGGCGCTATGACCTCATTAAAATTTAGGCGAATCTGAATTCAGCCGATCTGATCATCACACAACGTAAAATACGGTACCCGGCACGCCAGTCATCAAATAGGCTGGAATCACTGCAACTTGATATGATAAACCCTGTGGGTGCCAGGCTCCGGCTCCGCAGGTAGTTCTTGGTTTTCAGGAGTTGTAAAAAATGCTTTCGAGAGAATCGAGACATGGGAAAAATTGATGAAGCTTGGAAAAATAAAAGTGTTTGCAAATGAAAAAAATCACAGAACAAAAATAGGTGCGCCAGAAATTGTCAGATTTATCCATATACATGCTTTTTGCAATACTATTTTTCTTTATTATAAAAAGACCCTTTGCCCGGTTCTCAAAGGATCGCTGCTCTCAAAAACCCTCAAAAATAGGACCCTTGGTATTTTTGGATCTTCCGTTCGCCAAAAACGATTACTCTGATTCTCAAAGAATCCCTGCTAGCTTGCCCTCAAAAATTTCACTGAAAGCACCAATTAGAAAACTACCAGGGTTGAAAAACCGCTTCGCGGCTTTTCAGCCCTATCCTCTATAACACACACATATTTCTTCCCGAACCTTGATTGCAAAAAAATAAAAGGACTCCCCTACCCCCTTATATAGGCTTTCCCCACTACCGGTGCATGCAAATTGGCTCCTAACAAAGAGATTTTCCGATATCTTTACAAAAACCCAATTTGAATTGCGAAAACAGTAATTTTTCAAAGCGTTGATATGTGTGCACTCATCTCGGCACCATTACGCACCTAATGACGTATCATACGTACCCTAAAAACCTTCCCCTGAGGCTGTAGGTGGGAGACAACCTCACGGAAGTTGCATGCAAATGCACACACACAGACACTATTTTTTTATATATAGTAGGAATATAGTAGGATAGTAGGATTTGAATGTGACTTTTCAAACGTCGGCGGATTCAATTCCTCGAATCAAATCTCTGCTAACGCTCAAATTCCTAAAACAACCAAAAAATATGGTTACCAGGCCCTTTAAAATCCTCCCAAATTTCACTTCAATTTTCTTCTGATATTTAATTTATATTTTATACAAACTGCATCTAAGATTTAACAATTATGCAAAAATCAACTTCTGCACCTTTGAACTCAAATTATTCGTCAACACCTCCGCCTTTTTCGAGTCGGGTTTTCATCTCCCCCTTGCGTTATCACAGGTTTTTCGGCACCCCGGTTTTATTACCGGCATAACGCGCGTGCTTCACCCATTTTTTAATCGCCACTCCCTCTTTTCCGGCAAGTCGGCAAACACAGCGTTTTTTCCGGAAATTCAATGTGTTTGCACCGTTCAGCAAAAATCTGAAAGTCATGTGCTTCGCGGGGGTCTCGTGGTGTGCTGCGAGTTTTCGGAGCTGTCAAAGCTCGAGTCAGCGATACCAAACATGGAAAAGCATAAAGGTACCACTTTTTTGGGGTTGCAAAATGTGAGTGGCATGGGGTTTGCTGATCGGAAATCAGAATCTGGAATACTGAAAATTGGGGGTTATTCAAAAAGTTTTTAAAGGGGCTAAGATGTAAAAATTTGCGCGTTTGGGTTCGAACCTATTGGCCAAATAACGAAAGGGATATCGATTTACTTCGTGGCAAAAAAAAGCTAAATCTTGCAGTAAAAACAAAATCTGTCTGGAAAGAAGACATCTTTTTGGGCTCATGTGAGCTATATACTGTAATGTGTTGCCTATAAAGCCCCCAATTCCTCGACCTTGGTCATTCCCAGTCAATTTTCAGAATGGAAAAGCTAAAATGGCTAACTCCACCAGCGGATACTAAAAAAAGACGTCGGAATTTATGAAATTCATGAACTTTTCACGCCGAAATCGGGACAAAAGAGCATGCGGCACGGTCGGGTTGCGGCGGTATCTGACTAGTTGCCAGGAATCGACGCTGGGCTCGTAGGCTGGACTTCGGTGAGAAATTACATGAGTCGAAGCTCACATTGAGTTCTTTGTATTCCAAATAGTTTTAGCAAAATTTGAAAAGCGAGTCAAGAACCATTTTCAATTCTGATACATTCCAGGCGATAAATTCGACAAAACGGGGCAGACTAGCGGAAGACGTTGTGAAATTAGAAAACCTAAAATTCTGTTCGATTGATGTTTCCGGATGTTTTTTAAAGTATCTGAATAATTTTCGAGTTCAGCGTAAAATAAAGCCGTTTTTTGCGCGTATCTTGGTGCTCCAATACCTTAAATATCCTATACAGCGAGCGAAATGACGCAAACAAATGAAACATCAGTCACAATCGTCCAGCGCAGAATTGGATTTTCAACTAATTAAATTCATGATTATGCATCGACGACTAAATCAAAGTCTCCACAAAATATTAGTTTGTCCAGCCTCCAGAATCTCTTTAAGTCTCAAAGATCGGTAGATGCTTACGAAAAACCGCCGATTTGGTGTAAATCGTACACAGCTCGAGGCGCCAGTGGAAAATATTGACGCGATTAGCATAGAGAGGTCTCGTGTCCTTGTCGTCGCTGAAAAACATCATCCACCGCGTATAAATGTCAATCGGGCTTGATCGGGGTATGAAGGAGCTGGCTGTTTTTTTTCTGATTGGCATTTCCTAGAGCTCCTAGATAGACCTGGCTTTTTTCGTTATTTTACCGCTTCTTTTTCATACAGTAAAATAACTTAAAACCTTCAATACCCCAAACCTAGAACATTTTTTCTTAGCTAAAGTAAAGTTTCCTAAAACACATTCAAGAATTTTTATAATGGCTTGGACATTGTGAAATTTAAGTATTTTCTCTTTAACTTAAAAATTTCCCATTTGTAGAGATTTTTTTCATAACTAGCGTTGCGTTTTATCTCATTTTCCCGTTTTTTTCAGCTAAAATTACCACCACCGTCTATCAAAAACTACGCGAAAATGCCCGGCGTCATGGAGCAGGTCAAGGACGCGATTAGCGGGGCTTCTGAAGCGGTCAGTTCGCAAAAAAAAATTTCATTTTGCGTCCTGAGCATTGCATAACAACGGCGGTAGACGGCTGCCCCTTAAACAACAACTTAAACGATACCAAAAACTCACTAAATTCGACCAGCTAATAAAGCAATTTTTCGATTTCAGATCAAGCACAGCTTCGATGGTATCACCGTTGGAAATGACCACGAGGGCGCGGATCGCTACGAGGTCCGCAAGCGCTGGGAAGAAGCCAGGGAGAGGGCCAGTGATGAGGTAAAAATATCTCTATCTCGCTCTCTCTCTCTCCGTCTCTGTCACTTTCTAGCTCTGTCTGTCTCTCCACTCTCTCTCGCTTTCTCTCACTCTCTCACTCTCTCTCTCTCTCTATCTTGCCTAACCATCGCTCTGCAAATTATAACGCATCAAATCTCCATTTCCAGATTCGCGCTCCCGGCTTCACCCCATCTGATGGTGATCGCCTGAGGCAGACCTTCGAGCGGATGTCGAAATATTAAATCAAATGGCTATCCACGTGTGACTACTTTTCCTATTTTGTAAATGAATAAATTCATGCCGTAATGGATACCCAACAACGCAACATCCCTCTCTTAGTTTTCCCATGAAATAGGAAGCCAAGTTGTTCCCCGGAAGGGGGCCAACGAACGCTTCCATGAAATAGTCAGCAGCTGGGCACAAGAGACTTGCGCGTGGCTTAGGTTTTAGTTGGTCGATTTAGGTTTTCGGAAGGGGTTTTTGAGATTTCCAAGACTGTACGAGAATTCTTTATAGAGTTGCTTATAGAAATCTGAAAAAAATAATTTCCTGGCCAAAATCAAAAGTGATTAATTTTAAAATTGAGCCGATCTCAGCTAATCAAAATCTGGCTTACTTTATGCACATCGAGCTGTTTTTAAAGTAAAAGCACAGCAAAGATTGGCCAGATCAGTCAAAAGGGTGAATTTTCGGACCAGGGCACCAGCCCTTTAATGTTGTCAGTGTCAAGAGGAGGCAGTGGACGCGTAGCGGTCGCGCTGCGGTTGGCACGCTTTCACTTTCTCCCACTCTTTCGCTCTCTCTCCCGCTCTCTCGCTCTCTCTCGCTCGCTCTCTCTCTCTCGTTCTCTCGCACTCGCTCTCTCTCTCGCTCTCTCTCGTTCTCTCGCACCCACTCTCTCTCGTTCTCTCTCTGTTTCTCTCATTCGCTCTCTCTCGCTTTCGCTTTTGCTCTCTCTCTCGCTTTCTCTCTCGTTCTCTCTATCTGTCTCTGTCGTTCTCTCTCTCTCGCGTTCGCTCACTCTCTCGCGCCTCCGTCTGTCTTTTCTTCCCTCTCTCTTTCTCTCTCTTTCGCTCTCTCTCTCGCCAAGTAAGACGCATCGAAGGCGCCACTCGTCTCTGGGACTATTTTCAGGATCGTAAAGTCAAGCTTTCCCAGAACCCACTGCTAATTCTCCTCTCCAGTTTCTTAGTTTCAAAAAATTTGCTGCCAAATCTGTTATTTTTACGATTTTCACCCCGTGCCGGCACGTTCTTTGCATTTCCCGGGGGCTTGTAGACGTTCCGCGGGAAATTAAACAAAACTATCAGCCGGCGACATCTGATCCAGACAAACACCCAAAAAAAGTCCGTAGTTTACGTCCTGTTCCCCCCGGAATGATGGCAGATCGAGCCCTCCGATTTTTGCTATAAACAGTTAGGGGCGCTGTAGTCGATCAGGACCCAAAAATGGCCACAAATTTGGGATTTTGAATCCGGCGAAACATTTGGAATTTTGAATCCCTGGGGACGGGTGACTCCAAATGATAAGCTTTGTTTTCGACATTTTACTGTTTTACTGTTTTTTTATGCTCAGTCATGCGTTTCTCGCCTCGGAGAATGGTATTTATAGCAGGAAATCAGCGGTTCCAGCCACTTAAAGGAACTTGGAAGGCAGAAATCGTAAGCTTTCCCTTAGAACGCTAAATCGCGCCGCGGTAGTTTGTCTCGCTAAAATTTAGTTAGGGATCTTGCCTTTCCGATCTCTTTAATGCCCCAAAAAATCCTAAATAGCAATTTTCTAAATTTTTTTGTATTCTTCGATCAATTCGCTTGATTAGAGAGCGGCAAAAAGGAAGAAAGGGAGAGAGAGAGAGAGAGAGAGAGAGAGAACCCCGAGCGAGGTAGAGCGCGAGAGAGAGGGAGAGAGAGAATGCAAAGCGAGAGAGCGAGAAAGCCCAGAATACCCAAAAATGACCAACTTGGCCTTCCAGCCATTTTTTGCCGCAATGCTTTTCCCGACGGCCACCGAGGATTCTTGGAAATTGGCTCAATTTTTCGACTTTGTTCCGTTTTGTCGGGTCAGGAGGGAAGGCCAAATTTGTCATTAATGAGCTGTGTTTTCAACTTATAAATTCGTAAATTTAATAAAATTAATTTCTTCAATTTCAATTAATTAATTTCAAAAATTATTATGGTATTTTGTTACACTAAAAATAGCAAAATGGCCAGACAAATAAATAAAGCGTAAATTTCATTAAAAAGTTAAATAGATTATCAAAAGCTATAATAAGCGTCTTTTGAGTTTTTCCAGGTCCACGAATATTCAGAGATTTAGTGTATCCAATTATTCGATTTTTGCATTTATTTTGGTATTTTAGATTAAACAGATTTCATAACAACAGTTAACTCCAAAAAGAAAAGGAAAAAACCGCAAAAAATCCGAGAAATAGATTTTTTGCTTTTGCCCCTATTTTCACTTGTTTCGCTTCTGCATTGCCCTCAAGATCCCCGGAAAAAACGTTCCGTCTGCTGCCGGGAATTCCGGCCAAAAAACGCCTTTCATTCGAATCTTCGTGCCCTGATCTGCACTTTAATTTAGCACGCGTTTCCTGTTTTTGGTGTGGAGGGTCGTGGCCAGGGTCCAAGATGTGACCACGCGGTCGGGTTCCCCCTCTCTAATGAATGTGCTCTCGGTCAGCAGACTTTTCTCTTTCCGGACGCCCCGGACCGGGAAACGGCAGATTATACTAAAATTACCCTTAGCGTTGCTGGGAATAGAATTAGAAGAATTGTTAAAAAAACGGGGTTTTTTCGATTTTTGCAAAAAAAAACAGATATTTTGCAGATTTACTACCTTTCAACATACTGTTTGAAGAACATTCGAACATACCAGAATGCAGGCGACCCGAGAATTTTGCAAAAAAATGGGATTGTAGATTTTTCAAACCCGGAAAATATTTGCAGATAATGTAATTTAAAGATTGGTACCTTGTTTGGGGCAAAATCTGATATTTCTTATCTAGGAGCGTTCAGACTTTAGCAACGATTCAGCGCTTGGACGCGATACGCGCGCGGATTGCGACGCGTGCGCAGCGCTCACGCAATGTAAGGGCCAAGACGCGTCCCGTGTCGCGGCTCGTCAAATTTTTTCTGCGAATCGGCCCTCTGATGATAACCGTCAGATGATTCTCTTTCGATTCCCTAATTCCAGGTGTCCCCCTCGCCGGGATGGACGCGCAGAATGCGCTGATCGCTACGATCCTCCAGGAGAATGGGACTATCACATATGTGGACACACTCACGCAACTGAATGTATCTGTCAACAGTATTGGGGATTTTGTGAGTTACTTACAGAAAGAGAGAGGGAGCGAGAGAGAGAGGGAGAGCGAGAGTCAGAGCGAAAGAGAGAGGCGAGACATTGAGATAGACATAGTCAGAACGAGAGCGAGAGCGAGGGAGAGAGAGTGAATGAGCGCTAGAAGACAGATATAGCAAGAGACGGTGAGAGAGTGAGAGAGAGGCGAGGCGAGGGAGAGAGAGACAGAGCGAGAAATCACTAAAATGTTTCCCTTACAGTACCAAGGCTGCGACCATTTCCTTCGCTTTACCCGTGGCAGTATCGAGATCTGGCTCCTCCGCTATGTACTACCCTTTCAAATCGTCCTTGGTATCTTTGGCAACTCTCTGAATTTGGCGCTTCTGGTATCTGTTGGGTTACCGTCATAGGTTTGTTCTTCATTTTTGTTGTATTGTTACTTCTCTTTTTATTTATTTTCCTTGGGGTCTTTGAAACATGCCTATGGTAGCGAAACGTCCTTAGGACACTTGACACTCCCTACTGACGGCAATGGCAGCGATGGACATATCACTTTTATTATGCAACATTCCGTATTTTCTATCGGTTCTACCGGCAGTATATGTACATCCTTACTTCAGGTAAGCTAGAATACTAGAATTTATAGTTAATAGGTTTAATTCACCTTTTTTGCTCACTTTATGACTTTGATAAGTCTGGATTTTTAGAAAATTTTACTACACGACGCACGTCCTCTTCCACAGCTTTACAAATATCTTTACGGCCGCAGCGACTTGGCTCGTACTGGCGATTTCTGTTGAGAGGTAGGCGAGCAAAGGTCATTGGGGAAGGATAGCGAGGGAGAGCGAGAGAGGTAGAGCGAGAGAGCGAGAGATCGAGAGAGAGGGAGAGAGGGAGAGAGAGAAAGAGCGAGCAAGAAAGAGATTTTCAGATTCATCGTAATACGATCACCATTTCACTCTCGGCTACAGTCCAGCAACACAAAAAGCCTGCAAGACCATTTGCTACATTTTGATAGGTACTGTCCTCTTGTCGTATTTTGCATTTTTTGTTTTGAAAAATTAAATATGCGCCACATACTCTCCAGGGAAAAATCGTTATATGTGTAAAGCTTTTTAGGCGCTGTTTTCGTCTCCTTCTTCCACTTCTTCGAGCATGATTACGATTTTCGGCTACCAACGGGCGAAGGCCGGATGCCGGGGTAAAGTATTTTGTCTTTTCTGCCCGGCTGAGCCCGTCCTAGCCTAAAATGACTAGGATTTCGTGCCTCCGCGAAACGCAACGCGCTCAAAACTTCACGCTTTGACGCGGCTCCGGCAACTTCCAAATAAAATCAATATCTTCTAGAATTCAAGTTACGACTTACCAGCCCATTTAAACGTCATGCTTTTTTAGCTAGCAAAATGGTGCTCCCGCGTTTTCCGTACGCCCGTCTCGACCGTACCCCAAAGTTGAACTTCTCGGCATCAGCAACCACCATATCATCGACTGGGCCAAAATTTTGGCCATTCTGATTGCTGTTGGCGTGCCGCTGATACTAGTTCCGATCTTCAACCTAGCAATTTTCTGCGGTGCTTCGGAAAAAGACCGTAGGTTTACTGACATTTCTCCTCCCTATCTCTCCTCTCGCGCTCTCTTTCTCGCGCTCACTCCCCCACCCTGTCACTCGCAGTCTCTATCTCGCTCTCTTTCCCTCGCTCTCTCTCTCTCTCTCTCTCTGCTCTCTCTCTCTAACTTTGTCTAACAATTTATAGTTCATTGTTGCAAAAAGCCAATAAAAAGACTTTTTCAGGAAAACCGTGGCCACCCGAAGCTTCTCGGCCTCCACTTCCATTGACAGCGAGCAGCCGATTAGGTAAAGCTATGTATCTATCTCGCTTTTTTTTGATTTGAGCGGCATTAATTTCACAACAGTTTCAATCCCCGAAAATTCAGATTCGGTTTTCAGAGAAAATTGCGTGCTGGGCAGTCGGCAGCGATACGAACGAAAAGTTACACGGACAATTGTGGCAATCATTGCTTGCCACATTTTTACGGATGTGAGTAATTTGTCCTTTTGAGAGAAGAAGAAGGAGAAAAGGAGAGAGAGCGAGAGAGAGAGAGTGAGAGAGAGAGAGAGAGGGAGAGAGAGTATTAAATTTATTTTTGAACCAATTTAGTCGCCGTCCGCCTTTCCGTTCATATGGGATTTACTTGGCCAAGATGCTCCGATATGGATTAATTGGATGGTCCTGTCCCCGAATTACATCTACATGTTCTGCGGCATCATCAACTCGTTGCATTTGCTGGGCAAGGTATGGTAGAAGGCAGAGAGAGAGAGGAAGAGAGAGAGGAGAGAGAGAGCAAGGTGCGAGAGAGCGAGAGAGAGCGAGAGAGAGAGAGAGTGAGAGAGGGAAAGTGAGGGAGAGCGAGGGCGAGAGCGAGCAAGATGAGAGAGAGAGAGAGAGCGGGGTGGGAGAGTGTGAGAGAGAGGGCGAGAGAGTGAGAGAGAGAGAGAACGCCATAGACGTCCTCGTTTCCAGGTGCTGAACTTCTTCCTCTTCTGCTTACTATCCGAAGATTTCCGAAAGCGTGTCCAGATAATGCTACGAAAATACTCCAAAACCCTACGGCACTATCGACCTGCTTTCATGTAAATATCCCGTCGTATTCGGGCTGTATAAATGTATTTAACACGATTCACGCTTCCAACCAGCGAGATAGATGGGCTTGTTGTTCAGTTTCATAATTTTCGTTTTTATTCTACTCATCAGAGACAGCGGGTCCAGATTGTTGGCCCTGGATATTGGCATAACATGGTGTTTTAGAAATTCCGGCCCGTGTTTAATCTTTTCCTTTTATGTTTTTTTAGATGTTAGGTGGGCAAGCTTTTTCAAAAAAGCAATTTATGGCACATGATGATTACATTATTGGGAAAATCCGCAATTACCGAAAATTGATGGTGGCGTGCTCAATACTTGTCCATTCGGGTCACATTCTGGCTCATCGTGGGTTCGTCGTTGGCCGGGAAGTACGACGGGGCACGCACCTGAAATTTGGAGATTACGGTAATACAGTAATGATTGCTACGTTTTTCTACGCTCAGAAAACACAAATAGAACTAAGCGTTTACCCTCTATTAAAAAAATCTAAATGGCCCGAACCAAGAAAAAAAGTAAAAAATCTATTTAAGGAGCCAAAATATTGTTAGAGCCATATCTTCTACAGTAACCTTTTCACTGATTCCTAGTCCCTGTAAAATCTCATAAATTGACGTACCGATTCCTTGGCCCTCTCGTGGGCGGCCTCCCAGGGGCTCAGGTTGTGCAGCTTCTCGGGGTGGTCGTGGCCGAAGACGTCGTCGATTTTCTCCTTGATCTGCAAAAGTCTGTATAAATATACGCAATCTCTATTTCTGGCCCTCTCTATTCCCGGCTTTTTTTGTAACTTACCGTATCCTTGCAGTCATGGACGACGTCCTTCACCTTGTGCACGATTCCGGCATGATTAGCGTTGGTTGGTTGGGTTGTTATAGCTGGAAATTCAGACATAGCAAAATAGAGAGGGCGAGAGCGAGAGAGAGGGAGAGAGAGGGGAGAGGGAGAGAGAGAGAGAGAGAACGAGGGGCCGTGAGAGAGAGAGCACGAGAAAAAGCTAGAGAAACGTTGGACGAAAAGGATAGGGCGAGATATATCCAGAAAGCTATAGTAAGTTGAGCCTAGAGACAGAGAGAGTCAGAGGAAACTGACAGAGAGAGAGAGCGAGAGAGAGGGAGAACGGTAGAGCGAAAATCCGAGAGAGAATTCATGTTATATTCAAAACCCAGAATTTAGCAACCGCTGACCGCGCCGAATGTTTCAAATGAAGAGCAGAAAACGCATACTCAAACTTCTAAATCCCCCTTAAATCTAATTACTGGGTTTGTGATATGATTTATATAATTTAACACTCACCAGGGTTGAAAAGCCGCTTCGCGGCTTTTCAACCCTGGCCCCGTCTGACCCCGTTTTATCCTTCACTTTGCATAATTTTCCCTGAATTCAGATGACAAAATGAAAAACTACCTTTTAAACCCCTTTATATAGTCGAATCCCCACTTCCGGTCTACGCTAATTGTTCCTAACAAAGATGTTTTTACAAAAACTTAAATTTAATGTTGAAAATAGGTGATTTTGTTAAATCTGGTATGCGTGCAGTCATCTCCAGGCCATTACGCATCTAATGACGTATCATACATACCTTAAAAATTCATCCCCTATCGAGATATCCTCCGGACAGCCATCCGGAAGTGGATGCAAAGTGGCACACACAGACACACACACACAGACACTATTTTTTATATATAGTAGGGATTTTTGGCAAAATAGCGTGCTAAACAAAATTTTAGCAGATCACGATTCTCGACGATATTGTTGCTTGCCAAAACCTACCAAAAAAAATATGAAATATGGAGAAAACGGCTTGGAACAAAACAAAGCGTCGCTTAAAAGTAAAAAAGTTTGGAGTAAGCTAAGCTAGGTAAGTAAGGCAACTAAAGCCAGAAAACCTCAGGAAGAGCTGGGAGAAGTGCGGCTTTTTCCCCATCCAGTCCCTCTATTTATGCCACAGGGGAGGTTGTTGACAAGTCTAGAAGAGCGCGAGGAGGCAAAGAGAGGACGAGAAGAAGGAGAGGGACAGACACAGACCGACAGAGAGAGGATAAGGACACGGGCCCTATGCTAATGGCAAAAATATGTTTTCGCCGCCCCGGATGCCCCCATCTCCGTGCCGTTGACGACGATATCCTGTGTACGGTCTATACCAAATTGCGCCCACAAGCAACATGAGGGCATCATCGTTTTTCTTGTAAAAAACAGTCTGCCTTCCAAAGAGACGTCAACAGGAAAAGCCAGATGTTTGGATATGGTCTGCTGTCTAGAATTCACTTTAGAAGCCTCTGGAAGTCAGAACTTGAAGATTTTTATCAGGTAGCCTTGGTGAAATTCTCTGCTTCGGAACCCAGAATCACTCTAAGACTGCTAATTGTAATTTTCTTGGATACCTAAAGGGCCGCGAAGGTCGTTCGAGCGTTCCAGCCAAGTTAGGCTGTTTTTCGTTGCTTTTTCTGGTTTGAGCGTATTAGACAGAGAAAACTCCGCCATTTAGACCGGTTACGCTGCCAAAATTAAGAATCCTCTATAAACACAATCTTATAGGCTACTTTACGTTATATAAAAGCTATTTTAAAGGAATTCGAGAGGCAGCAAGGACACCTTTTCCGCTCTGGGAAAGAGTCAAGTTGAATTTCCACGCCTAAATGGGTTCAGAAACGCTACTTTCCGTTTCCGATTGATTACGCTTTACCCGTGTGCGCCGATTGACTTACGACCAAGTAATGCACCATAAAAGCTTGATCGCGAAAATGTTTTGCAAAGGAGGAAATGTCTTATTGGTGCCTCTTCACGCACTAATAGAGCTCCCACAGCGGCACCGGCTCCTGATAAACGTCCGGTAGCTTTGGAAATGACGGAAGATCGCAACCCCCGCGATAGACATCGTCGCGCGACTACGCCGAAAGCAGGCCTGCGCAGCTAAAAACTGGTTGCGGTCCTAGGCGCACCCGCACGCAACGCGCGAGAAAACACGTACAGTACGCCCTTTCCCTTGAACTAGCTGGACCGAACCCATGGGCGGTTGTTTTCCTAAGCCTAATTTCCTAGTGTAATCGGTTGGCTAACACAGATTTGTTTGGCTAACTACTTTAAAGCGACTTTTATGTAGCGATTTGGAAAGAGCATCGCGGCCAATTTTAGTATTCTAAAAACACCCCTTGGAAAAGCGACTAAAAGGGCTCTGGCTTTTCCGGGGTTAGAGCGCAAGCAACCCTCGCAAAAGTGCATCCAACCCCGGCCAAAGGCAACCACAAGTCCATATTGCGCAAAAGTAGCCTCCTCCCTTCAGTACCCCCAATATTGTTTCGCCGTGTTTACGCGCGGAAGGAGCACCATGTCGGGGAGTCGTCAACAAGTCTAGAAAGGAGCAATAGGGGGCGCATAAAGAGAAGTTTGTAAGGAGAGGGGGCAATCATGGGGCCCATGGAAGCGCTTCCCAAACTGGCAAGACGAAAATAAGGGTAAAAGCTAATACTCCTTCACGCACCCTGCAATACAGATCCGAACTCCTTTCTGCTTGTTAAAAGTGAGAGGTAAAGCTAATAGACTAGCGATGGGAAACACAATTTTTTGTAAACCCAGAGTAAGGTACTAAAAAGAATAATAAAACAATGAACAAGGTAAAAATAATAGTTTCATAAGAACACTACTCCAGCCACACTACCAGCCGAAAGCCTTTGCTGTTCCGGGCCCTTTAAATGGACCAACCGTTTAATCGTATCCAAAAAAACTCGATTTTGCTTGGTAAATTCCACAAAAAAGACTGCAAGCTAGCCAGCTCAAGAAAAGGCCAAAAAGCAAGGTAAATAAGCTCCCGCTATTCATCGAGCCTGAAAATTTCACATTCATTGGCTTCCACGGCCATTTTCTCAAAAAAAGTTTGAAATAGCGATCCTACTATATATAAAAAAATAGTGTCTGTGTGTGTGTGTGTGTGCCACTTTGCATCCATTTCCGTCTGTCTGTCCGGAGGATATCTCGATGGGGGAGGAAATTACGGGTATGTATGATACGTCATTCGGTGCGTAATGGCCTTGAGATGACTGCACACATATCAAATTTTACAAAATCAGCCATTTTCGACATTAAATTTAAGTTTTTGTGAAAGCTCCTGTGTTAGGAAATAATTAGCATAGACCGGAAGTGGGGCTTCGACTATATAAAGAGGTAGAAGCGGTTGTTTTTCATTTTTGTCATCTGAATTCAGTACAATAATGCAAAGTGAAGGATAAAATGAGGTTAGACGGGGCCAGGGTTGAAAAGTCTTGAAGCTTTTCAACCACTGGTTTAATTTTTCTGCGTCT